AACTCTGCCTGCATGCCCTGCTAGCCAGATGGCCTGCAATGTGTATCTCTTAGGAAAGTTCTATGATTTGACTGTGTCCTCCAGAAGCCATCTGTTGTAAAGTTAATTCTCAGTGTAAAGGTATTTCCAGGTGGGGCCTATAGGGATGTGTTTAGGTCATGAGGATGGAGCCCTCTAGTGGAATTCATTAATGTCACTATAAACAGGGATTATAAGGCTGGGATCTCGCTCTCTCTTCTGCTTGTCTGTCATGTTAAGACATGGCCTTCCTTCCTTTGAAGAACTCAGCTATCCAGGCATCATCTTGAAAGCAGAGAAAGCTGACCTTAAGCTGCCCATGCCTTGATCTTAAATTTCTCATTCTCCAGAAGTGTGAGAAAATAAATTTCTGTTCTTTATGAATTACACAGTGACAAGGAATCTGTTACAGCAGCTTGAAACAGAACAAGAGAGACACCTGACAATCAGTGAGGACAGGATGAGATGTATACATACCACAGCTTCCTAGTCTCCCAGGTGGAACAGCCCAGAGGAATTTAGTCCATGTTTCCACATGTGGTTGATCTTCAGTTCTCCTGAGTCAGGTAGGTTGTTGATGTGTCTTTTACCATTCATCTTCTGTTCCCTCCCTCACTTTCCTCTTTTCCTCCCAGTGTAAATTTGCTGCTTAAATGGAAATCATCATTGCTGGTGGACCCAAACTAAGACAGTAAAAAATAAAATCATTATTCTTTGGTACGAGGGATATTAATCATCTCAATTCTTATCATTTCTTTATCTTTGACATGTAGGAATATTCAGGAAACAATTTTTCTTTACCAATCTATTTTATATTGAATTTATGCAATAATTTTTTTTTTCCGGGTGTTAAAACCAAAAATTAAGTTGTACGCCACCAACCAGCTGAGTGGACTCCTCTTTTGGCAGAGAGAACTTCAAAGAAATCTGAAAAACTAGGTTAGGCCCTGACTGGCAGGTGGATTTAGATGTGCCTCATTATGCTCGCCTCCCTTTGGGGTTCAGACAAAACTGACCAGCATTATCACTACAGCTGAGATCTTTGGACTGACAAAACAGACTCTTTGTAGCAATAAGATAC